AAAAATCCATGCGTCCTTAATAGAAAATGATCCATTAGAAGAATGAATCCATACCAAAAAATCTCGTTGTGGCTGTAATAGAATTGCAAATACTTCAATCTCCTTCCACATCATAAGAAGGGTAAGTAACTTTATTATTCAATAAACATCATATAAAGTATCAACCTTATTATGTAGAAATAAGGTGCACCTCAAAAGCCCATCGAAGAATGTTGTTTCATCACCAGAAAATTCTCCAATTGATCATCTTGACCTCGACATGTATAGATATGAAAGAAAAATGAATTTTAAGTCTTAGAAATAATATATCTTGTAACACATTATGCAAACCGTCCATTTTAAAGATTTTCAAGTGTTCATTGATCTACTCGATCAACACCATTTTTGGAGCTTTCAATTTCATAATAGCGGTGAAAAATATACTCTTAGACCATGAAGAGAGTTTCAGCACCGAAAATACATCTTGTAACGAGATTTTGAGGTGCACCTTACTGTGATTGTTTAAGGTTGATACCTTATACAAACCTCACCCTATAAAAAATACAGGTATAAATATTATTAACAATATTGGTACTATAGATGTAATATTGGAACAAATATTATAAGGGCTACAAATTAATTGAAATCATAATTAAATATCTTAGATGTTTGTTGTACTCGTATAAGTGTCTAATTATAGGAAAAAAACCCAGGCTTAATTGGTTAGCATTTGACGATTTGCAATGCTATGTCCTAGGCTCAATTCCTTCCAAGGGTAAGGGCCTCTCCTCACTGACTCACCCAAAAAAAAGAAGTAAAAGTGTCTAATTATTAACGAAATTATGATTGTTATAAGCTTATAATAAAATATTTGTTTATATAAGCATAATAAGATGAATTTGTACAATATTAATTGGTTTATCTTGCTATTATTAAATATAATTGTAATCGAGTATAATTATAATACTATTCCCTTTATTAAAATTTGTTGCATCAAATATTTATGTAGTATTATGAAATATCACATGAACAATCTACTCATTATGCTAAAATGTCTAATAGCATGAAGAAATAGTCACACTTTATTATCCATAATAGTGTATTACTTATAGTATGCAAATCACATAATGCATGACATTAACATTTTAATGAGATCCGTGAGGCAGGTACATTTTACTAGTTTAAATAGAAAAAGATTTACCTTTATAATTTGAAAATCATTACACCAATATAAATAGATCTCAAAAAATAATGAATGACAATGACCCTTTTATAATAAGGAAAAAGGTTATATAAGGTTGCAACCTTAAAATGTAGAATTATATATGCACCTAAAAAATCCATCGGAGATTGTTGTTTCATCAAAGAATATTGTTTGATTGTTAAAAAATCCTCTAATAGATCATCTCAACATCGAGATTTATGAATATGAAAAAAAAAAAAAAGATTTTGAGTTCCAAAAATAGTGCATCTTGCAACATATTATCTAGATCGTCTATTTTCAAGATTTCCATAAGTTTATAGATCTACTTGATTTTAACCATTTTTAGAGTTTAAAATTTTATAATTGATACAAAAATAGATTTTCATATAATCCTAAAAAAAGTTTACATCAAAATTGCATGTTATAATAAAATTTGAAAGTGCACCTTAATTGAATTGTTTAAGGTTGAACCTTATAGAAACCACACCCTTATTATAATGAAGGAAAAAGTTTATACAATGATGCAACCTTATAATGTAAAACTACAGATGTCCTCAAAAATCCATTGGAAATGGTAGTTTTAATGTTGAAAAATCTTTTGATTGAACATCTCGACATCGAGATGTATGACTATGAAAAATAAAAAGATTTTAAGTCTAAAAAATAGTGCGTTTTTCAACATGTTATCTACACCGTCCATATTCAAGAGTTTCATATGATTATAAATCTACTTGATTTTAACTATTTTTGAAATTCAAAATTTTATAATTAAGCATAAAAATAGATTGTGAGATAATCCTAAGAACATTTTACATCAAAATTATATATCATGTTAAAATTTACAATGCACCTTACCTCTACACCTGCGATGCATCCGTATGCCAACTGCACCCTAAAATAAATGAGAAAGAGATTGATAAAACCAATGGAGAAAGAAATTGATAAAAGGAATGGACAAAAAAACACAAGCTTTACAAACATGTGAAACATATGTGATAAAAAAAAAAGAAAAAATCTAAGTTCCAACCTATGTGATAAAAAAACATGTGGGTTAGATAGATTTTCACCATACTTTTCACCCAAAATTAACCCATTCCATATCTTTCTAATTTTTTCCAGGTCCGTGAGTATATCAGGGAATTGAGGTTATCAGAGGTGGGGCCACGTCATAGTACGTCGGGACCCACACGGCTCCGCCTTCGGTGTTTGCTTTGATGTTCCCTCTTTTCTCGCTTCATTTTCTCACATGTCCAAATCTGTGGGTCTCCAACTCTTTTAAATACTTTTAGAGAGAGAAAGCAAGCTCCTTCGTCGATAGAGATCTAGACCGAGAGAGCCGTGCACTCGCCTGTCTGGTTCTAGAGAGAGACATATAAGGTCCTGTCTAGAGAGAGAGGGTCCTGGAGGGAAAGGGAGAGACAGCGAAGAGTAGAGGGGAGGTGGTCTCTGTAATTGTAGAGAGAGAGAGGGGTTCTGTTTCTGTGGTTTTAGATAGAGAGAGAGGAGTGAGGGAAGAGAGAACCTGCAAATTTTCACATTGTGTGGATTGACATATCTGATGATTTCTTCTGAGCTAGACGTCTACAACGTTTGCTGCAATGGAGTTGGAGTTGCCGGTATTCATCTTCGCACTCATCTGTCATTCTTTCTCTCTCTCTTAACTCTTACCAGGAGACTCCATCCATGAGGAAAACCAATTTAAACAAAGAAGACCCCAAAAAGAGTGCCCTTTTTTAAAAAGGCATATTAATTCCCTCTCAATCTTCTAATTTGTGGAACCTGAAATGCTTTGAACTTACAAAAAGCTGTTGTCTTTTATTAGTGGAAGCCATGAAAGATGATAAAGTTTTGTTTCTTTTTAAGGACTTCTTTATTTTCATCAGAAATTGGATTTTCCTCTCCTCAATTGGGTCATGTGAGACCTTCCCAATAAGCAGAATAATCCAAACCAGCAACAAAGAATTACATTGTGTTACAAATTGCACATGTTATGGCTTCTCTCTCTCTCTC